TGGAAATCACAAGATAACTTGCTGCGAACAGCGGAGGATAACTAGCTTTATACTTGCCAAGGTTGGATGCGACCAAGCGACGGGGAGAGAGGCACCGAAACCACGAAGACTTCGACTCGATCTCCGAACGACCGTAGAACCACAACCGGAGCTAATCCACACAAGGAGGGGCAGCCGTACTGGAACCCGCAAAGCACGAACTAGTGGATTCCAGAGGAATCTCTTCACAAGTCTAGGAAGAACAAAGAAGAACAAGGGTTTGAGTAAGCACTCGGCAGCTCGGCTGCAATATCACTTGAATTATCAAATCATCAAAAAAGTACTTTTCTAGTAGCCTAGAGGTAAAATTTATACTATGAGAAGTCTCTAAGATAGATGTGAACTAAAGAAGCCATGTTGGGAGGTGGAAGGTCAACGCACGAGGTGGTCTTCAGTTTCCGCGTGTCTTCTGGGCTTCTGGGCAGTCTTTAATGTTTTGGTCATAACTCCTTCCTGGAACGTCCAAATGATGAACTGTTGGATGCGTTGGAAAGCTAACTTCATTATCTTTCCAACCATGTATGCTATGCACCACGATTTATGGTAGAATGATATAGTTTTTGCATGGGATCTTTAGCTTCATGCAGACTATTGAGCTTCGGAGCAGTCTTCACTAAAACTGGTCAGACACCACGCTGGACATTCCAAACTTGTCGGCATGACAGCATTGGAAACTAGGCTTCAAGATCTCTCGAACAAGTACTCATTCACCTTCATAGCCTTTGGGAGACAAAAGATATGATTGTTTCTTCTGGATGGTTCTGTCATGCTGGGTTGACTCGAACGTAGCTCTTCTCTCTGATCCATCCTTGATGTATCCTTGTCTTCCTTCTCGGAGAACCTGAGTAATAAAAACATGCACGACTTAGGTAGCTCGAAATTACCATCAATGTTTAATTGAAACTCACAAAGTAGCGCGTGCACCTCTTGCTGTATCTTTTGGGCGTGGCTATGGGTGATTGGTCCAGTAAGGACTTGGAGTGGTGTATCAGCTAGTGAGGTGGTCAGAGAGGTTGCTGTGGTTGGTGAAGTGGTCGGAGAGGTCGCCGAGGTGGTCGGAGAGATCGCCGAGGTAAGTGAAGTGGTCGGAGAGATCACCGAGGTGGTCGGAGAGATCACCGAGGTGGTCGGAGAGGTCGCCGAGGTCCCCGACGTTGGCGTGGTCACATCATGTTCGTAGCCAATCTATTGGAGATATAGTCTGCGACATATATATGTGCAACAATGATATTAAACTAATTGCACTTATTTGTTAGCATAAAAAAACAAAAGATGTTGGAAAATATTTCATACAATAGCTAGAACAGGGAATCACAGAATGGCCACATTAGGAGCGAATGGCTCATCGCCAGGATGGAAACCTGGTTCTTGTGGTGGGGGAGGTCTGTTGTTCATACCAGCTGATCGATAAAATACAAAAAAAATATGAACATAAAATATATGCACAAAAAATTCTTCCAAGTAAAATGTGGCAACATAATTAAATATAGATCGAATGCAAGGAATAAGAATATATATAAATGTAGAATGCAAAGAAACATGAATATAAATATAGATCAAATGAATATAGATAGAATATTGGAGAAGACAACATATCAATACCAATGAAAAATGCAGGAGCCATGACCAAATCACGTAGAGAGAGTGGATTTCTTGAGAAGTGAGAGTGAAACATGAGAAATGAGACTGTGAGAGTTCGTGGGTGGGTGGAATCGATGTATGTGGCGGTTTGTTTTATATAGGGGGCATAGACATCACCGTTGGTTTTCAGTTACAACCGACAGTGAAAGTGGATATCACTACCGACTTTTAAATAGAACCGACAGTGAAGGTGCATATATGTAAAGGACTATGGGAAAGTTTTAACAACAACGATATATTTATTTAGATAGAGTACAGAAATACATAAAAAAATAACAAAAATATTAGAAATAAATTACATATACGATAACAAAGACCTTACACTAAAATTACATATACGATAACAAAGACCTATTTGCGTATAGGTCAATGTTATAATCAATGTGTATCAACACATTATAATTTAACCACCTCAGTATCATTTTTCTAGCACCAACTAGGGTCAAACAACAGCGCCGAGGTGGTCTATGAGCTATACCAATTGGAGATGACAAGGTGGCATCGATGAATCCATGCCTCTGTTGTATATGGCCTTTTTCTCGGTATAGTCTAGAGCACATCGGATTTGGCTTGGCACCGCACCGATGAACCAATGCCGCTTCGGGACAGGAAAATGCCCAGAGCACACCAGGTAGGCCGAGCACGGAGGATGCCATGTCTCTCTGGACATATAGTCCAGAGCACACCACAGCGGATGGATCTATGAACCTTGCGGCGTCTCTAATCTTCGGCGTTGCTCTATCTTCAGTAGCATTCTTCTAGTACCTCTTGTGTGCACCATTTTGGTGGACTATGATGCATAACGATATCTATATGTGGAGGGCTTTCTCCCACAGAGAGGCCATATATGTGGAAACTAACAAGCAGAGAACGAGCTAGAAAAATAATAAACAGCAAACAAACAGAGTTGCAAAATAAACACAAGTACTAGCCATGGAGAGGCTCCATAGCAGGGTGCCATTTTATAGGCATTTATAGGCTGCCGGTTTTGATAAAAGCGGAGGAATATTCTTGTCATGGATAAAAGGTGGGAGTGCATTTTTAGAACCGCAAGGATTCCATGTATCACTATCGGTTTTTATGCAAAACCAACAATGATAGGCACAGCAAAGTGATGAAAGAGGGCAGAGCTCAGCTTTTATTTTTTAAAACCAGCCAATGGAGGAATATTCTTATCCCACCCGGGTTTTGAACCGGTTTTGATAAAAAAACCGCGCGTCAAAGGAGATAGGAAATATTTTTAGTTTAAGTTGAGGTTCATTTAATTCTATAAAATATAAAAAAGTTTGCCGCACCTAAGATTCGAACCAAGGGCGCGGGCTTCCTATAGCTGGCCACGTTGCGCTTCATGGTGCAAGGCCACAACTGGAGGGAACCAAACGCATGCCCTGTTCTTGGCATCGGCTACATCCTTTTTTGTTGTAGGCTTATCACCGTTGGTTCTTGGCTAGAACCGACCGGTGATAGATAGGCCCAAGCCTTCCTTGGCCCATCAAGCCCCCAAACCAATAGTGATAGTTTTCCTTCTAAGGCTCGGTCACATACCAAATCAAGTTTGAGGAATGCGCCAAGAACCGATAGTGAAAGATCAACACTACCGGTTCTCCTAATTCCGGCAGTGATAAGGCCAGCAGTGAAGTGCTATTCTGTAGTAGTGTAAAAAATAATGGACAGTCGAGAGGTGGAAGCAAAAGAGCCTGCGCTGCGTGGCGACTATGGGGTTGATAGCCACCTTCTTCTCGGTCCGCCGCCACCTTGGGTGGGGGCCTCCACCAGGATAAGGCCAGCCTTCCTCCCCCAACCCCCTTTCCTTCTAAGCCAGTTTGAGGCGGTGGTGTGAGGTGGAAGAAAGAGAGCGCACATGGGGATGATAAGGCCCAGCGCGTTTAAGGCCCGAAATAAGTCTTTGCCAAAAAAATACGGTGATTGTTCTAGAAATTAAAGATATGAAGGCACGCCGAATCGGCGGCCTCCCAGGGTGTCCACGTACGTTCTTTTTAGTTGGTGCATTAGATCAAAATTCCACAACTCAGATGAGGCGCATCACAACCGGTCTTCTTCTGTACATTCGGCAGTAGATAGATCAAGCAATTGAACGCATTAAATGAAGTACGGCTGCCTTTGATTGTACGTGGCACACAAATGGACGGTGGCGTGTAGCAGGGAACGGTGGATTCTCGACATGCATGGTCAGTGCCTAATTAGCATGGTGGTCGGCACGCATCCGAGTACACGTGCATGCATGCTGCTGGGGCTGTGTTTGCTTTGCATGCATGCATCACTTATCGATTTGTGTGTGCAGGTGCACTCATGCAGCACCCTGGCCCCATCCCATCTTCATCTCCAGTTCTCATCCCATCCCCATCCCCATCTCCTTTTCTCAGTCGCACAGGCACGTGACCCCGCCACCTCCAAACCTAGCCAGATGAGCACTACCTCCAACCCTAGCCAGATGAACTCCACCTCGCCGCTAGCACTAGTCCATCCGCCGCCGGCCTCCCCCTCCTCTCCTCCTCCCTCCTTCCCCCTGCAACCCTAGCCCCGACGAGCTCCACGACCCTATCACCACCGCAGCAGCCGGTCGTCTCTCCGGTGTCAGCGGCCAACCCTCCCCCACCCACCTCCTCCTCCCCTACCTCTCCATCTCCCAATGGTGCGACCGCTACCCCTCCCCTACCAGCATGAGCGCGCCCGGGGTCCATGCCTCCTCTTCCTCCTCGCCGTGGTCTCGGCACTCGCACCAGAGTCTACTAGTCTCGGGGACATCGTTGTTGTACGGGTGGGGCGCGGGAGGTGCGGCGCAGCGTGAAGCCACAACGGGATGGGCCGCTGTCCGTGCTCGTCACTGGCTTCATGGGCGCGCACTACTCGCTGGCACTCCATGCTCGTGGCGACGGCGTGCTCGGCCTCGACAACTTCGATGCCTACTATGACCCGTCCGTGAAGCGTGCGCGGCAACATTTGCTAGCGTCCCGCGGCGTGGTGGTGCTGGACGCGGCATCAACGATGCTGCGCTGCTGGAGCGGCTGCTGTCCACGGTGTCGTTCACGCACGTGCTGCGCCTCGTGGCCTAGGTGGCCATGCGCCATGTGATGCGGACGCCACAGGCATACGTGTCATCCAACGTCGTGGGCCTCATCGCGCTTTTCGAGGCCGCGGCAAGGCACACCGAGGACCACCGCACGGACCACCCCGCGTCGCTATAGGCGGACACCAAGAAGGCCGGCGAGGCCATGGCACACGCGTGCAGCCACATCTACGGCCTCTCCATCACCGGCGTGTGATTCTTCACCGTCTACGGGCCGTGGGGATGCCCCGACATGGCCTACTTCTCATTCGGCTGTAGCATCATCGTCAGCGATCCCATTACACTGTTCCTCACCGCCGACGGTGCCGACGCGCGCCGTGACTTCACGTACACTGATGACGTTGTCAGGGGCTGCCTCAGCGCGCTCAACATGGCCGGCAAGAGCACGGGCTCCAAGTCCGGCAAGAAGCGTAGGCCTGCGCCGCTCTACGTGTACAAGCTCGGCAACACCTCGCCGGTGGGCGTCACCCGCATGGTCGCCATCCTCGAGAAGCTCCTTGGCAAGAAGGTGCACAGACGCATCGTCACGATGCCGACCAACGGCGGTGTGCCTTTCGCACACGCAAATGTTTGCCACGCCGCTCGCGACTTCAGCTACCGCCCCGCCACCTCGCTCGAGGTTGGCCTCTGCCGTTTCGTCGACTGGTTCATGTAGTACTACAAGGTTGATGCTGAGACTGTGATGGAGGAGGATAACTAGATCTAGGTAGGGGTCGGTAACTACTAGGATTGACTATATGTAAGCACGTGGGAATCACTTACTCGACAGACTAGGTGCAAGCACTAAATAAGCACTCTACTGCTAGTGTTATCCTAAATGTTAAATGACAAACAGTTGACCGCTTTCCTTTTAACCATTAGGCCAAATGGACACTTAATCGGGCAAAATAGCCATTTGAGTGGAATAAACATGCGTATTCTAAATAGAAACGACATACTATCATGCAACATTTAAATCGTGTGTAAATGGGCTAATTACCTGTTTGGCCAACAATGTCTGCGGGTGATAACTCACTCATCATGAGAAAGAGGCTTGGTCTGGCCAATGGCTAAGATGGCTTGGTTAGAAGAAGAATGACTCTACTTGCAAAGCTTCAGCCAAACCAGATTTCGATCGTATGATCGTGGTTGATTAGGGCTTCTATAGGTGATATTCCATGACATCACGGTCTCAGTTAGGGAACTTGATTAGGTTTGACACCCTCCTCTGCTCATCCACTGCTTGCCCATCCTTTCTTGCCTACGTACCTGGCTGCTGGGTTCCTGCACCCAAGCGCTAGTCGGCCCTAGCTCAGCGCCCAAGCCGGTTGCCTATCTACCGGCCCAGGCCCTGGGCCGGCCGCGCCGCTGCCCCCTACCACCTGCCGGCGGCCACCTCCAGGCGGAAACCGCGTGCTCGCACCCCTGGTAGGTTGGGCCCTACCCTGCCTGGCAAGCCAGCCGATGGCTGTTGCCACGCGCCCGCGCCCTCGTTGTGTTGCCGTATCTAGAAAATCTTAGATGTTGCCCACGCATGGCCAAAAAACATAGTACTACCAACACATGTAAACACCTATTATGCGAGCCCTTGCTTCCATTCTTAGAAACGCAATTAGTTCTTGCCCACACATTATTTGCGTGCTGAAAAGTGAAACATATGGATAGCATACCAGCGGTGCATGCGCACAAGTGGGCTGTGCGATGCAGTAGCCCGGTGTCTACCTAAAACAAGATCTAAGTTGCCACATCCATATATTACAAACGTCGATAGACATGTAGCAACGTATCTGATTACAGTAGTATGTTCTCCATACTGGCTCTCATCTGTACGCTCCTCCCCCACTGTGTATGCCTCAATAAAATGGCGCGTGTATCGGGCGCCCCTTGCGTGATGTCCTCGGAAGCGCTACGACCTTATTGAGTGAGCGGCTAGATTCAGCGCCATCCTCCAGCTTGAATGGGTGCTTGGGCAGCCCAGCGTCCTGTGCCGTGTGAGTTGCAGTCCCTTCCTACATAAAAATGCCTCAAAGAAATGATCACCAAGCTTAAGACCATGACTGTTTTTAAAAGAGAAGAAGCAGGAACCTATATGTTTGCACTCAATGGAGCAAAACTTGTGCGCGCTCTTGAGTCTCCATCTGCAGCCAACACATGTAGACATCATGAGGTACCGAGGCTTGGGCCTAAACACGGAGCCTTTATTACTAGACCATTTCTTGAGGTAAACCACTTTGCACCCATTACAGACGCACTGTTGCACCTCCGATATGTCAATAAGACTCGACACATCTCTTACACGTACCACGTCTCTCGTTGCTTTCTTTAGCACCTGCACGATGAGTTAGGCGGTTATTCTATTAAACATGAGCTACTTAGGGATGGCCATAAAGAAAGGCTTAGGGTTGTGTATAAAGGGCGAATCCTAGAACCTGTAGGGTCCGGTGGGATACATGGTCTACTCGGCAGTGTAGGCACAAAGCTTCTTGATGTAGTCCTTGGCAATCCAGGCAGATGTAGTTGCAGGCTCTATGGTGCAGTGGGCATGGCTGGCAAAACTGGTTGCCAACCAACGCTGCCATGTGCTCAGCACCTAGCATGTTGCACAATGTTTGTTCTAGACTCTAATAAGGGGACTTGATTCATAGGATGCATGAACTGTCTGCGCACTGCAGTCCTGAGAATGGCTACTTAAGGGACTTGGGTGGCATTGTTATATTGGACAAACTAGACTGCATCATAAATGACCGTGGTATACTAGACAACCTGTGATGTCCCATAAATGTTGACTCTGGAAGGGATTCATGACCTACCCGAGTGGTATATTGGGCAACCTGTACTGTGCCATGAATGTGGACACGAGAGGGGAGTTATGACCTACCTAACCGTACCTTGTCCTATTGCTTACAACCGCCTGCAGAAGTAGCAGATGTGATTGTGACATCGCCAGGCAAGGGGGCCTGAAGCCCAGCTTCACCTCCACTACGCTCTGCCACTGGGTCTATGGTTCAGCGCACAGGCCAGCTGTAGCTCTGGTAGGATCAGCAAGCATCGGTGGCAGGCTCATGGGTGAGCGGTGCTCTTTTCTTTTCTTACTTTTTTTTGTAAATTAGAAGAAAATTAGAAATAGACCTGCTAGGAGATGAGTTCTACACATTCTAGTGATTATTGGAGAGCTAAACATACAGGATACAACAGAAGGAAAAAACTGCAAGTAACTTAATACTTCTAGAATTAACTGGATCTAGAACTATGCACAGCACCAGCCAATACAGAACTGTGGGCGATGCATGTGAAAGCTTGTCGATATTATCATTGCTTCTAAACTTTCCAGTCAATGGCATGCTTGGGTCTATAATATGGTGGGTAACTTCACATAATTTCATAAAATAGTGGTAGTTGTAGAGAGAACCTTTATTGTATTGCTGCATTTCTCATGATAGAAGACCTTCCACAGTTTGAGTGTCACTGCAGTGCAGGTCAAGTCTTTGGAACCAATAGAAGATTTACAACAGCAGCTCTCATCAGAACAACATGCATATCTGGAAATGTTTACAACCTCACCGTCCCTGTGAATAGGTACCGTACCAGTTACAGAACCAGGGAAAAGAACATAAGCTCAAACCAATATATCACTGAGGAGCATATAGTAGCTAATTTAAAATGTAGATCTTGTTGAATAAAGCACACAACAAACAAATAAGAAGATGAGATGAAGAACATTTTGTGGGAATGTGGGTGTGTGGTTTGTAAGGGTTCTTCCCCTTTCCCTTTTTAATATAATGATAAACAGATCTGCTGCTTGTTTGGTAAAAACACTAAGCTTATCAACATACAGATTACTTTTAAAAAAATATTTTTGTTCAGAGATATAAAATGGGAAAGTTATTGTGATCAAATTGTAAGGCAAATACCAAACTATGGATGTCAGACAAATAAAAGGAAACACCAAATTGCACACTAAGCTTCTCCTATATCATAGGAGTATAGGACCAAAATGAAAACCTGCTTGTGTGCCTTACCTAGACTGGGGAACTTTTGGTACCACAAGCTCAATGTGAATCTAGACACCTAGAAATAGTGCACGTAGTTCCCCAAATGTTGCAAACTGAAGTAGCTCCTTCTCAGGCCCTTTTAGACATTTGCAAGTAGAAATGAAGATAGCAAAAATCAGTAGATGCTATCGTAATCAACTAGCTTCAAATCAAAGTAATCAGAAAAGGATATTTCACTGGACAAATTTGGCTATCTCCTGTGATGGTTCACAGTAAAACTGGGCGACGGTGCCATGACTAACACATGATTTGTTGTTGGGTGCGTACAGATCACCCTTGTGCCTAATAAGCAGTGAAAATACAATCTTCACCACTTGCTGATCAATTGTGGCCACAGCAGAGGCTTGTTTCTCCAGTGGAATTCAGCAGGGACCAGGAAGTTTGACTTTTCGAATGGTTGTCTAAAAAAAGCAGAAAATGATGTGTGCGGCTGTAGTTTCGCTTCAAAACTGTGGACATCTTCCTGTTCCTGCACCTGCGCTACCATCAGCAGGGTGGAAGGTCTAATACACAAGGGGTACCTAATGTGTATGCATGTAGGCGGTCAAAAATGTGGTTCTCTGTGCACACGTGCGCATAGTGAAACCAACACAAACTCCTAAAACCTATCTAGGGTAGGCACCCAAACCTATCTATGGTATGAGACAGCTGAGGTGCACCTACTACACACTGACATAGACTCCTAAAAGCCTATGTAGGGTAGGAGGCGGTGCCTAGAAGGGTCCTCAAGTGACCCTGCCAGTGGACAAAAGGTACAGCTCATGTAATCGCAGTCACGCATGCACCCACTGGGCCCTAACGTGTTCGTACCAATGCACTGCATAGCCATCCAAGCATGCATGTGCACCTTATTTAGGTTGGACCCCACTCCCATTGATGAGGTCCTTGCACCTGGTGGTGGCAGAGGCGCCCATGCCTCATCCAAGCCTCCAGCTCTTGCCTATGTCAGCATGTGGTGTGCCGCCCGGTGCTTCATTGCTTCCTGCCATTGCTTGCAAGTGCCCTCCTTGTAGTTCATATAATTCACCCCTGCAGTAGCTTGTGTTGTTGTTCCTGGCCTTTGTTACACTAAAACTACCAGCATAGATACCGTGGCATTTCTCAGGCACGGATAATGGCGTAATCAGCACAGACTACCTAGGAAGCACGACATAGTAGGTTTGTGCTATGAACCTATCATAATGAAAGATTCTATAAAATTAACGCCTAACTATGAACGTGGCGAGTGGCTGGACAAAGCTTTGAATTTGACGTCACTTAGTTAGCATGTGCATATGAACGTAACAGGCACACTTTGTGCATATACACATATTCTGATCATGTCCGACCAAATCGTTCTGCTGTGCCTATATGTGTTTAGCGCATGATCTCGATCCTCGGAAGTGGCGCCTGCAGCCTTGCTCGTGGCCTTGCTACTGTACATATGGCTTCCTGTTCTCTTATTTTCTTTTCCTTTTGTTTGTGTCGGTCCTCTCCTCTCCTAACCTTAGTCTCGTCATTATGTAATTTTTGTGGTGCTCCGAACGACGTGTGCAGGCACACATTGATGGCACATGGAAGGAGCTTCCTCTAGCCGGCCAAGGAAGAGGCAACGTGGGGAGAGTGCGGCTTCAGTTCCAGGTGT